CTCGAAGATCTCTGAGTAGTACTCTGAGTAGTACTCGGGCAACACTGCGATTACACGAAATTCACTTGTCCCTTACAAAATTCATATAAACTAGCTGCTGTAGGAGGTGTAGCTGTAATCGTTTATCCCTTGGGACATAGATATAGCTCTTGAATAAGAGAAGTCCTTGCTGATTTTTTGAGAAATTTTCTTAAGAGAGGAACCTTTCTTCTGGAGGTATTCCAAAGTTCTTTTGGCAAAGGGGTCGTGGTTGTAAGCATCTTTGAATGCTTTAAGAAGTGTTGCTGAGGGTGTATAGTCTTTAAAGGTCTCTGGTTTCTGAGAAGAGGTAATGGGGGCAACTTGTTCTTGAGGGGATAAGTTTACCCCCAAGTCCTCTGTAGTACGAGGGTTGCTTAAAGATGCTGCTATAAGCTTTGTAGAGTCTAGCAGGGCCTTTGTATTGCTTGTTTTAGCAGAATCTTGGTAGTCATGTCTTCTTGAGAGCAGATCTGCTCTTTGATTCTTGGCCCCTGAGACATGTTTTATAACAAAGTCAAAACCTCCTAGTTGTTCAGACCACCTTGCTTGTCGTCGATTGAGCTGTTTAGTGGTTGTAAAGGTCAAGAGATTTGAATGGTCACTGTAAATAGTGATAGGATAGTTTGCCCCTTCAAGGTAGCATCTCCAATGCTTTAGAGAACATACTATGGCAAGCAGTTCCTTGTCTGTAATGGGATAGTTTTGTTCGGCTGCTGATAGCTTTCTTGAGTAAAATGGGGCTCTTGGAAAGCTTCACAACATTGAACGGTCACCACAACAAATTGCTGAATTTAGAGAGTATAGCCAAGGCAAAAGGCTTGAACGGGACAACTCAACTTGCTGGAACTCATGGTCTCATATGATTGGCTGCACTCTACGGCCTGGTGTTTAGCCTGCAATTCGGATGTTTTGCTCAGAGCACAAGGACGAGCTTTGGGATGATACTTTGACTACTGATGAGTGGTCTCATCTTGAAGGAGTATTTGGGATTCTCAAGATCCTAGAACAAACATGTAGAAGGCTCGTTTGGCTCTCTTGGCAAGGTTATTATGACCATGGATTTTTTGCTTAAGCTTTTCGAAGACATTACAGAGTCAAAAACGGAAATCAAATATTCAGATGCAATTAAATCTATGGCTAATGACGCATGAAATAAGCTCAACAAGTACTACAATATGACAGAGGCAAGCGAGGCTTATATTGCTTCAATTGTTCTTAATCCTCAGATCAAATGGGTGTACTTTACAAAGCAATGGCCTGATTGGATTAATCAAGCTAAAAAGGACATGTTGGCCTTCTGGAAGACTTATTACAGTAGTTACAAACATTTTTGAGGATCTTTTAGAGCCTCAAAGGGTCTATGAAGATGGCCAGTCAGAGGTCTCAAAATTCCGGCAGCAGAACAACCCTCAGCATGAAGAATGTGATGAGTATGAGATGTATTGCTTGACTCCTCGGCTTAGTGTAACGCTGACTTCTAAATGATAGAAGACACAGAGGTTCTCTTGCGTAAAGGTTTACTTATCAGAGGAGGCAGGGGATCAGACACAAAGGCTTCAAGTAACACGTTACTAGTATATAACAAATACTGTATTGAGTTGAGCATGAAGCTCCTATCTAAGGAAATACTATCTACTTATATAGTGGCGTCATGCCTCATAGGTAATCTGGATAGTTGGCGGATAGCTAGATATTCAGGATAGTTCGTGGATAGCTCAACTATCCAATATCCACTAGTTTCTGCAACTATCCATTAGCCCCGTCACATGGCAGCCTACCCCGCTTCCCACTGTGACTCACACGTCACGTTATGTGACTCACACGTCACGTTACTAGGCCCTGGCCCTGTAACTATGACATCATGTTACTATAGCCGTAACAACAAGCTGTTTACTTCAAAATTTTATAAATCTTTAATGGCACTTTTGTTATGGCTACAGTAACGTGATGTCATGGTTACAGGACCAGGGCCTAGTAACGTGACGTGTGAGTCACAGGGGGCAAGCGGGGTAGGCTGCCATGTGACGGGGCTAATGGATAGTTGCAGAAACTAGTGGATATTGGATAGTTGAGCTATCCACGAACTATCCTGAATATCTAGCTATCCGCCAACTATCCAGATTACCAATGAGGCATGATGCCACTATATAAGTAGATAGTATTTCCTTAGATAGGAGCTTCGTGCTCAACTCAATATAGTATTCTTTACAATACTGTAACATGTTACTTGGAAAGCCTTTGTGTCTAATTCTGTCAAGTCAACCTTACGCAAGAAACCTCTGTGTCTTCTATCGTTTAGAAGTCAGCGTTACATAGTAGCGAAATGTAGATGTGGTAGTGAAAGTAAGCTAGATTGAATCTAAAGAGAGAAGAAGAAGAAGAAGAAAGGAAGGTGAGGCTATTCCTTGTAATATACAGTTGCCTGCTTAGTGGTTGTAACCTTGCTAGCTAAGGCTGCTCTATATAGAAGCATAGTAGTCCTAGTGGACCTAGAGTAGCACATGATGATGTGGTCTAGGGTCTTATGGCAGCCATAGGAGCAGAGTAGTTAGGGACGCCTAACTACAAGGAGCCTATAGAGTGTGGCCCTAGGGAGGTCGAGCTCTAGTGGTGATTTCACCTAGTAGCTAGCCCTAGCGACTAGCAGCACCACTAGACAACAACGCCATAGGCCTTAAATACCTTTCATGCCTAATAGCTAAACCAGCAGACTTCGCAGCACTCCTCTAGGTTACAGAGTTCTACATAAAAATCTATATACGCTAGGCTAGCCTAGCACACTTACCCCTAACGTAAGTCATGGCGTAACCGGGAGAATGGCGTAAACGGGATAGTGGGGGAAGACCGACCACGAAGAAAGCGAAAAGTAGAGTATTATTACTTTAGTATTCAACTATAATGCAGCCATATACTTCTTCTGGGTTCTCATCCTCCTCGACATTCTCGGTTTGGTCAGGTACAGTGATATTTGTCGCTGTACTCTTGCCTTTGGTAGTCGCTTTCTGGGTGGCCTCCTCGGCCTCAATGACTTGGGAGCGTAATTCCTCTGTAGTTATGTGGAATTGGCCCTTTAAAATTGCGCGTTTCCCTTTGCTCTGTGCTTTCCGTGTTTGTATAATCGATCGTAGGTTATCTGCCTCGCGTTGGTGTAAGAAGTTGCATGTATTAAGTCACTCAGTCTCATCAGCCAACCGACGGATATATCGAGTAGTGGGTGTGTTTAGGACTGTACGCGTCTCTAAGGCCGCAACCAGGACAGTGTTCGCTTTGCGCAATGTAGAACAGTCGGGTGGACTACTGTTCTGAAAGACATTGTCAAAAATATCGTACTCAGTTGGTGTTTTTGGTCGATCATCTGTCACATCTGTCTGTTGGAGCGTCACCATCCGGATCACCCGTTGAGGTTGGAAAGGTTGTAGACCAGCACCCCTCCACGCAGATGTAATATTATGAGTAGATAGCGCAATTGCTCTCGCTTTGATGTATGCAGATAACCATTCTGCTTTTTGTATGCGTGTAAGTTGCGCTTCATTCAAATGTGAGAGCGCACTTGTGAGATGTTTTTTCAATGGTCCGAAGACTGCAACATCGAGTGGTTGCAACACATGGGAAGTGTGCGGTGGGAGGACAAGGATAGATATTCGATTTTGCATACAATGGGATATAAAGCCTCCACTTATATGACTGTCGTGGCCATCGCATATGAGTAACCGTTGTTGTTGTGCTCCATTAGATGTCGCTTTCGCATGCGTTGCTGGTTCAAACACGCATTTTAACCACTCGATGCCATGTAAGTTGCTTGTCCAACCCTTTGTATTAGCAGAGAAGTGCCATTTATCGATAACCTCAGGAGGGATCCAGTTTTGTAAGACGTTCCGACCCTTGAATATAAAGAGGGTTAATGGTCGTTCCATCCATACAGATGCATTCAACAGCAGACACCCATTCCTGCCGGCCTTGGTGTGCCTGGTGACATGTACGGAGTGTAGAATCAACGATGATCCGAGTACACTCCATAGTGCCAATCGAAAATCCAGTTTCATCCATGTTATACACGTTGTGTTCTTGTATTCCTAGACGCGCCACAAGGTCCTTGTATGCGTCAAACCACCCCGTTAACACATCTTTTGTAACTCCACTCATTCTTTGTGCTTCGACCCGTCTGCCTAGTTGGATTTGTAAATGCGGATGTCGTTTTATAAACCGTGGGACCCAGTCTTGTCCAAGGGGAAAGTTCAGAATCTCTTCGTGATGCGTGTGTTGGGCATGTTGACTGTTAGGGTGCGACAGTTCGAAAACGCGGCATCGGTTGACACGGATTTCGTCAGCAATATCCCGCAATATACGGTGACTAGGAGCATATCCACTAATTGTTAGCACCTTAATCCACTTTAAAAGTGTCTGCTCTTGCGCTGGCGATAGCAGTTGTTGTTGTTGTCGAGCTTCTCTCCGTGACAGTTTCCCATTAACGTGTTGAAGGACTGTGTCTGGCCGAAGGTGTAAAGCCTTTGCAGCACTGTACGAAGATTTGTATAATCCGGATTTAACTCCAGCAACAGCTTGTGCCAATAAAACTTCTAGTTCTTCAGCTTTCTGACTACGCTTTCGCACCATGTTGGGGGTTTACATTGGTTTGGTGATACTCTTGATGCTCAATATTCCCCACTATCCCGTTTACGCCATTCTCCCGGTTACACCATGACTTACGTTATATAGCCTAAGAAAGCCACAACTTCTGCTAGCCCTATAAGGGCTCTAGGTTAACGTGACATAGTCCTAGAGGATATCTACTCTACATTTTTGCAAACTAGAAGTTAGGGTATAGGTTAAACACAGCTACACTCCCTTTAATGACACTATACTTTGTTCAAAGACACCCATTCCTAATTTTCCTACTATATTACCACCTACTACTAAGCTATAGAGCTGTAACTCCATAGTAAGGCTGCAGGGCACACTACGCACCACACTCGTAGTGGCTCATAACATCAGACCAACTAGTCCTACATACACCCCCTTTTAGGAGAACCTCTAAGGCACCGCCCTCTACTAGCAAACCTAACACCATCCTAACTAGTAGGGAAGGCGCTTAGTTAACGGGCCTTACAGCTACGCAAACACGTAAGAACTGCTCTCTAAGGCCATACTCTATACATAAACCCATAGCTTAGCACGTCCCCATACCTTTCAGGAGGTCTTAGGGCTGCGTGTTATACCCGCGTCTTGCTAGACGTAAATAAATATCATCATCATCATCGTCTGTCTGTCTGTCTACCACTATGACCACTACTCTACCGCCCTTCCGCCCCGTAGTCCGCTCAGGTGGTCTAGCCTCCATCATAGCCTCAACCCCCCCCTTCACGCTATCAGTAAACCTCCTCCCGGAAATAAAACCGTGCATCTGTTCCGTAGAATAACTCAACGACCCCTTTCTTCCATCCCTCCTCACCACTCTCCACTACAGACAATCTCGCTACCCCGTTCCTCCACCAACATATCCCTATCATCACTCATGAAATAATAACCCCCCCTTTCCCAGCCCCAACTTTCCCAGCAAAACAAAGCAAAAGCCAAGTATCCTCAAAAAAACGTTAATAGCAAAGCAAGATAATAAAAATACTCCCCCCCAATCCCATCCATCCGTCCCAACCATCCATCCCTATCACTAACCCTGCACCTAACACCTAACAACCTCCGAACCTAAACCCTGAACCGAAAAAAAAGACTCCGTTGTGCACCCCGCTACTTGTGCTGCTGTTTTTACGCCGTTGTGTGATTGATTGATCTGGTTTGTGTGTCTGCTGCCTGAGCGCCGCACTGGTGATATCTTCTGCAAGAAAAAAAGTAAAAAGAAGGAAATGGAGATGGGGAGATGGAGAGGTGGATGATGGGAGGTGGTGGGTGGACTTGTGGAGGGGAGGTTGGTGGTCTATGGAGGGTGGAGTGACGGGCGAGGAAGCAGGTGCTTATGTTAATCCCTAGCTGCTGTCAGCTTGCCCTACTTTGCAAAGAGGGATAATCGGATTAAGTTACCAATGCAAGGGCAGGCGCCTACTCCAAACTCCTCTGCACCGCCCTCCTCAACAACCGATTGTACGCCTTCCTCTCCTCCTGCGTCCCCCAATACAACTTCGCCGCCTCGGGATTAACTAGCGTCCTCGGATCATACGGCGGGCTCTCCTCCTCCAACGCCTCAATAATCCCATCAATATGGCTCTTAACATCATCGCTCCTGCTGGCGTTATAGCACGGCGTCCCATCCCTCGCGATGCGGTGGTGGAACAGACTCGTCTCGAAGCGCGTGCGCGGTTGCTCCTCGGGGAAGCGCGGGGATAGGCGGAGAGTTATGCGGAAGAGGCCGCCGTCGAGGTTGGTCATGGGGCGGCCGAAGTAGGTTATGGACCAGACGAAGGGGTTGGAGTCGACGAGCTCGATGTCGAGGGTTACGGCGGAGTCGCGTTTGTAGGCTTCGACGACCTGTTCGTACTGGCGCTGGAGGTTGGCAGCTACGCCACTATCCTTTTTCTTCTGCGCGAGCCCCTCATCCGCCCAGCGATTCGTCTCAGCATCCAGTGTGGCCTTAATAGTCTCAAGTCGGCGTGTAAGCTCAGTGTAGTTGAACTTCCCAACCATATCATTCCCCTGTCCCTCAAAGGGCATGCGGGCGAAGAGCTGACCGTCTGTGACTTCCTCGCGGGCCTTGCGGATAGCAAGGAGGTAGGAGTCGTAGTACCAGAGGAAGCGGCGCTTGCAGAGGTCTTTGAAGGGCTCGAATGCCGCGAGGGAGTCGTCGGAGTTGTCGTCGAGCGAGTCAGAGTCGGAGTCGGTGGAGAGGGGGGGAAGGACGGTGCCGTTGGAGGCGATGCCGAGGTATTCTTCGAGGCGTTGGATGATGGAGATGCGGAGGGTTTCGTGGCGGATCTGGGTTTGTGTTAGGAGGGTTGGGTGTTTTGGGGGGGGGGAGTGGCTGGCCTTCATAACGTAGTTCTTTTGGTTTTGTTTGTCTTCGGAGCTCTTGGCTGATTCGTAGCCGGGCTCGTTCTCGTAGGGGTTGGAGGACATGAGGCTTTGGATGGAGATTAGGATGGATTCGAGGCCTTGGGCTGATGACCATTCTTCTCCTCTTTCTCCGCGCCAGGTTCTGAGATCGTACGTTAGTAGTTGTCTTGCTTGATAGGGATGGGGTGAAGTACCCAAGAATTGATCTAGTTTCTCATCAGTATAGGTCTCAGAATGTATTCCACTGCGGGCTTAACTCACAGGCAGACCTTCCCCTGCGCGTATATGTTGGGGTTGAAGCGGCACCTCCCGCCATTCGTGGTGGTTGCATTGATCGAGGGCGCCTTGGCTGGATAATCTGTGTGGTGGTTTAGTGTTGGTTCAGGTGGCTGCCAGCGAGGCTGCCTGGGAAGGCTGGGAGGGGTCCATAACACACACCTTTGCCAAACCTGACTGCAAACTACCAGGCTGTCAGAATTGTAGATTTCCGAATAGATCCGTCACTCACCTCGAAGAACCCGAATTCGTATGGGGTGTCTGGGGGACCTAGGATAATGGCGCGGACGTTGCGAACGTCGACATCTCGGCAGGCCACTCCTATAGCTGTAGAGGGGTCGTGTCAGCCTGAGCTGGCAGGTGTGGGGTATGGAGTATATGATATGAAACTGGGAGGTTCCGTACATAGATCGTTGGACTTCTGGATGCCGCTCAGCTCCTATGGTGATTGTCAGTCTGGGGCCCAACACGTCAAGAGCCAAACGCCTTCCCGGCGGGGTCACATACCTTTGCGATGCGAATGATTCCGTGGTTTGACATCTTGGCGATATCAGAATGGCTCAGCGAGCTTGTGTTGAGGTGTGAGAGGGCAGAGAAAGCATGAAGAAAGTAGGATGGGAAATCAGGCAACCTGGCGGGCTACGTAACGAGTGATTCTGATGCGGAAGGGAATGGTGGTTGTGTTGGCTGTGTTGGCTGTTTTGGCTGTTTTGGCTGTTTTGGCTGTTTTGGCTGTGTTGGCTGTGTTGGCTGTGTTGGCTGTGTTGGCTGTGTTGGCTGTTTGGAGTGGTCAGTCAGAGGAGGGAGGAGGGATAAGACAGAATATGGGCTGGGGGCTGGCGACGTACTCGGTACTCTACTATCAAGGTGTGACGCTAAGGAGTGGTGGGGGTGGTTGGCTGTGTTAAGCTATCCTGATCTAGGGAAAGTCGGAGCGGGCGGGTATTGTGAGGCTAAGGCTGGAAGAGGGATAGCACAGGCTGCGTGTACAGGAGAGTAGACGCCGGGGTAGACGCCGGGGTAGACGCCGTGGATAACAGCAATCGACTGCCAACAAACAACCCCGCGGCTATTCGATAGTATATGGAGTAATTTGCGTATCTGTCTATGTCTGTCTGTGTCTTGGCTGCTGCTACGGTGTGTTTACGTGCTGCGCCATATCGTCTGCGCCATATTTAGAGTAACTTTGGTCGCCTCGTTCTAACCTTATGCTACTCGGCCCATTTGCTATGCATGGCGCTGTCCTGTTCTTGGTCACCTGACTTTAACAGCTACTTCTCTAGCGTGAGTATACTCGTTTTTCGTACTCCGTATTTATGTCTGATCCGTGGTTGCTCCGCAACAACCACGTGACTGCCACCCCGCCCCTCCCTTGGCTGCAATTGGGCCGCAACGTGTGGGAAGAGAAGAAAAGGGGAAGGGCGAAGGATTAAGGATTAAGGATTAAGGGGATAAATTCATTTGGAAGCGCGAGGGATCCAATCACTGTACACCACATCGTATACAAACTTATTATACAATATTATACTTTTGTACATACAACGCCTCCTCCCAGCGCTTGTGTCCTCCTGGCCTCCTTCGCTAGAGCCAATGCACCCTGCACGGTCCATGTCACTTTCCCACCTCCCGTCCGCTGTAGAGTGACTTCAGACACACTACTCCGTACCTCGCTCAGGATATCCTGTGTACCTTTTCTTCCCGTTCTAACTCTCCTTCTCCTCCTTCTTCTCCTTCTCCTACTGGCCCTCCTACTGGCCCTCCTACTGTTTCTCCTTCTCCTACTCGCCTCCTACTCGCCCTCCTACTCGCCCTCCTACTCGCCCTCCTACTCGCCCTCACCAACGAAAGTTACCAAGTTACTTCGTACCTTTAATTACTCCGCAACCTCACATCTCACAAAGTCACAAGTCGCTCAATATAGCACTCTGCTGCAACTACACCACTACAATACCTACTTCGTCCCCCATGCGCTTACCTCCCTCATCTACTTCTCGAGCTTCAATGAATGTGTCTCGCTGTCTCTGTTTGATCCTACGTCCAGCGTTCAGCCTCGACACCTTCCCCGACGTAGCGTGTTGAGAACTCCTCCTTCTCCCGACAGACACAGAGAGCTCAGGGCCTCATCCAGCGCCTTGGCAACCACAGAGTGGCTTGTCGCGCTTCATTCTCGTGGGATAGATACCATACCCCAGAAGCTGCTTCGGCTCCTATCTCGATAATACTTCGGTGTCTGATCCGCTCCAACAATCGCCATCGTTAATACCCTCGTTTGCTTTACGCCTGGGCCATACACGACGCCCTTTGCTTCTCTGTTTTGCCTTCGATCTGTCCTGTCCTCGACAAAACACACCTCCACCACCAACCACGAGCGAAGTGGCGCATACCCGGCGATACGACCCCTCCGACTCTGATCGCGACCAGTAGGGAATACGGGATACATCAAGCTGGCATACTATTCTGGTTCCGATAATGGGTCCTCAATCGGAGGGAGGTCCCCCTGGTCCCAGCTGGGCGTATGGAGGTCCACCGCCATCGGGAGAGGATAATCGCTATCAATCCAGCCGGAATATGGCCCCTTCAGGCTACCCACAACGACAGCACCAGCACCAGCAGAATCTCCCACGCCAAAACCAAAACAATGGCTACGACCAGGCCAATCGAGGACCACCACCACCCTCGCTCCAGGCCAACCAGGGAATGGACAACATTGCAGGAGACGCACATAAAGACAGTTCTGAACGGGATCGCTCGCGGCACCGTGGTGGAAAGAGGACGGGAAGCGGGCAACTCCGTCTATGCAAGAAGTGCGGCGAGCCCCTCACAGGGCAATTCGTGCGTGCACTCGGCGGCATGTTCCATCTCGATTGCTTCAAGTGCAAGGCAAGTTCACCTATTCCATGTGTCTATATTTGGAGACTCAGCTAACAGATCGCTTTGCAGGATTGCGGTCAAATCGTCGCGTCAAAGTTCTTCCCAGCAGATGATGAAGCGGGCCAAGGCCAATACCCATTATGCGAAACAGATTATTTTCGGCGCTTAGGCCTACTCTGTCACCAATGCGGCGGGGCACTGCGAGGCTCGTATATCACGGCGTTAGAGCGCAAGTACCATATCGACCACTTTACGTGTTCGGTATGCCCTACGGTTTTTGGCGCGCAAGACAGCTACTACGAGCACGCTGACAAGGTCTACTGTCACTACCATTACTCGACGCAATTCGCACAGCGCTGCAATGGCTGTCAGACTGCTATTTTGAAGCAATTCGTGGAAATCTTCAGGAATGGACAAAACCAGCACTGGCATCCAGAGTGTTATATGATTCACAAGTTCTGGAATGTAAGGCTTGCCGAGGCCTCGTCAGAACCGCCGCCAGAGCGACCTCTTTTGAAAGATGCCTCGGATGTCGAGGCACGTAATTTGGTACGCGACGAGGAGGAGAGGATGGAAGAGAAGGTGTACAGAATCTGGAGCGTGCTTTCGACGTTTGAGGAATCCTCGGCTGCGAATATCTCGGATATGCTCCTTCATGTCAGCAACGGTGCCTATGTGGATGGAGTACTGACAGCCAAGAAGTTTATCTGGCATGTTGATCTTCTCTTCAAGTCTGCAGATAAACTGGATGCCGTGATATCCCAGCAGGGCGTTAAAGGTACTTCGTCGCATATGGCAAGCCGCGACCAGAAGCTAACCCATAGTGCAGGTCTCTCTTACTCGAGGGAAGCGAAGCTATTATGCAAGAAGATAGTTGCGTTCTTCGCGTTGCTGTCGAAAACCCAAGACACAGGTGTTAGGAAGCTTGGCGTAACACAGGAACTCCTTTCGCTTGTCACGGGGCTGGCACATTATCTCAAGCTTCTTATCCGGATATGCCTCCAAGGGGCTCTGCGAGTTGAACGCGAAATGAAGAACACGCATGGACTGGACCTGTTCCTGGGCGACCTCGGCGATGTGGACCAAGTTAGAGATAACGAGAAATCTTTGGAGAAGACAACCGGCACGACAGGCCTTGCAGGAGCCGCCTCAGATCAATGCACACATTGCCAACGGCCTATGGAAGACGAGTGCGCCCTTATTGGCGAGAAGAGGTGGCACCTGTCCTGTTTAAGCTGCTGCATCTGTTCTCGGGAGCTCAGTCATAACCTCGAGGATGTGCGATGGAGCGATTCCGACAGGGTATTATACTGCAACAACTGCCAAAACCGGTCGCCAGATTCCGTTTCTGGATTTACTTACGTTACGCGATTACAACATTATGTCTTCCTCCTGAGGGTGGCGCTTGCGAGACTCCTGGTGATGTTGAGAAATAGCGGTACGCTGCCACACACTTCTGATGATCCAAACTTGAATGGTTATAATTCACAGGAAGGCCATCGGCTCGGCGAGCCGTCAGACCAGCACCCAGCCGCTCTCACCCAGGAGAGTCGGTCTAAATCTTACGGTGGCACGAGCGAAGAGAACCCACGAGAATCGTCGTATGAGAACACACTCAACGATGTGCGGAGGTTGCGTAGCACACGTATGGACAAGCACTTGTCTTCGACTATCAAGAAGGCCAGGACATCGCGTATCATGGATGGACCGGAGAGCCGGAGCGTGCGGCCCGGATCAGCTGGAGCTGATGGGTCTGATACGAGGAACAACGACTTTCACATCGTGGAGGAGCGTGATAACCAAGGCGAGCCAAGATCGGAGCTCTTGTTCGGACACCAGGATGCTCTTACTCTTGATGATATCCCCAGGATCGTCGCGGCTGAGCAAGCAAAGGAACAGAGGCCGAACGCCTATAAACACGCCCGACATGAGTTATTCAATACTTCTATCACGGAGCCCAAGCTACTGAATGGACACCAGAGGGCATACTCCAACGCCAATGAGCTCGACAACCCCAATCTCGAGAGCGAGCCCTCCCCACAGCGCGGGCCGCCGGGAAAGCGATATTTCTCCGAGCTCTCCGCACTCGAGTACTTCATCGTTCGCCACGTAGCGGTGTTGTCGATGCAGCCATTACTAGATGGCCATTTCACGCTGGAAGAGCTCCTGGGTCTCATTGAGTCACGCAAGCCGACGTTCTGGGATAAGTTCGGGAAGGCGTTTAAGAATGATAGCCGTAAGGGCGCGAAGAAGAAGGGCGTGTTTGGCGTTCCTCTGGAGGCGATTATTGAGAGAGATGGAGCGGATTCCACGGATGGTGTTGGGCCGGGGAGCTTGAGGATTCCGGCGCTGGTGGATGATGCGATTTCGACGATGCGGAAGATGGATTTGTCTGTCGAGGGTGTGTTCCGTAAGAATGGCAATATCAAGAGGCTCAATGAGGCCGTGGCGGCGATTGATAAGGATGGGTGTGATGCAGTGGACTTGTCTTCGGAGAATGTGGTGCAGGTCGCAGCACTGTTGAAGAAATATCTTCGAGAGCTGCCAGACCCGTTACTTACGTTCAAGTTACATCGTCTGTACATCACGTCCCAGAAGATCGCCGACGAAGACAGGCGCCGTCGCGTTCTGCACCTCACATGCTGTCTACTCCCCAAGGTCCACCGCGACTGCCTCGAGATCCTCTGCTCGTTCCTGAACTGGACCGCGTCGTTCCATCAGGTCGATGAGGAGTCGGGGAGTAAGATGGACACGCACAATCTCGCTACCGTCATCGCGCCGAATATTCTGTTTACGAATACGAAGAATGCGGGGATGGATGAAAGTTTCCTGGCCATTGAGGCGGTGCACTCGCTAATTGAGTTTAACGACCAGATGTGTGAGGTAAGTTTACTGCTCTACTCTACCTGAAAAAAAGATCATACTAACCCCCACCACCCAGGTCCCAGAAGACCTCCAATCAATCCTCAACGACTCCTCCCTCTTCAACAATACCAGCGACATCACCACCAAAGAAATCCTCAAACGCTACGGCGACATCGCCGCCAGCGGCGGCCTGCGCCACACCGTCGAGACCACCCCCGGCCGCTCCAACGACGGCAACGGTAGCGGACGCGCCCACGCACCCGTCGTGACGCGTGTTGAGACGGAGAACTCGCAGAATGGGACGTGGCAAAACGAAACTAGCGTGAGGCACGTGGAGGAGAATTCTGGGAACGGCGCCGGGGGGTCGGGAAGCCAGACTACCCCGCCCCACCAGACGTGGCGAGGGGAGGACTTGGAACATCCGAGTCCGTATGCGCAGCGCGATGGGTCGGGGTCCGGATACCCGTCCAGGGAGAAGTTGCCGTTTGTGCAGAGGGAGGGGAATGGGACGCCGGATAGCCATAAGGAGAGGAGCGGGTGGAGGCATTCGGCGTGGGGGTCGAGGAGCCAGAATCAGCAGCAGAATGGTGGGGGGATGGGGGTTACGGGGCCGAGCTAGGTGGGGGTGGCTCGTTTGACTGTCTTCTGTCCGCCTTGACGAATTAACGCTATTACAATTGCATAAAAGACGCTCTCTGCAGATTGAAGAAAACCTGCGACCTTTTTTGCGAAACACACAACTACTCTTTTTGCACATAACGAAGTACATATCTGGATCAATTCAGCGGTGTTTTTTTGTTTGCTTTTTTGTTTTGAGAAGAGAAGGGGAGATATACCAGAACTCTGCAAGTTCCCACACCGACACCATACCCATCCACACACACCCTCACCCTCGAGATTTTGAGTGGAGAAAAATAAAAGCGAAACCGAGGAACTTTCGGCAAATACTCAGCCGGTTTTTTTGTCGAGCGATTCGATTCACCACCATACTACCATACTACCATGCCAGCAGCAGTTAAAAAACGTCGCGCTTCTTTTTGTCCAAAAATCGAAAAATTCGCCTACTATATTCCCCCAATCGCAACGTTTTCAGATCATCCTCACCCCCCCATTTTCGTGTCGTCAAACGGGTCTTTTGTCGTTGTTGCGACACCTTGATACCTGGGGGAGGGGCATCTTCTTTTTCATCTCCCGCTCACTTGTTTCAGTTTGGGCTTTTGTTGTTGCGCGCATTTGCAATGGCGTTTTTGTGTTGTTGTCGTCGTCGTATCGGGGACGCCGTTTTTTCGTCAATAGAAAGAGGAATCAGCTATAATTTCTGTCAACGTATGTAGTACGCTACTGTACGTACGGCACCACCTTTTTATTCGGCCTCCCACGCGCTCTCTCTATCACACACCACCGCCGCTGCCGTCGTCGTTCCCGGCCCTTGGATTTTTTCAAAAATACCGCTACGCGAGGACCAGCCATACCCACTTCTACAAGTTTGAGGGTTCTTTTTGTGTTGGATTTTGGGATATAATCCGTTAGTTTTCAAGTCAGCGGGGTGGGGCTTAAGGGCCTTGATCGTACGGCACCGCTGGGGTGCGGGTGCGGGTGCTGAGTGTGCATCGTGAAAAATTGTGGGGGGGGGGTGGGCGCGTATAGGATAGCGGTCCTGACGGGGTCCTGACTGGGGTAGGGCCGAGGTTGGGTTTGAGGTTGCGAAAGGCCGTCATATCACGCAGCTCGATGAAGAGGTGGGAGGAAGAAAGGGGAGATACGCGGAGCGACGAACGGACGGGCAGCTCCGCGACGTTAGTAAGGCGTTGGAAGTGGGGATCAGGGCAGGGCAGGGCATCGCGAGGTCCGCGTGCGTGCCATCTCGTAGTATACTACAGATATGAATGTAGAACCAATGGGAGTATAATATTGTAAACACCTCTCTGTCCTCTATGGTTCTATGTGACAGTATAACTAAGATATAAAATATACAAGACTAGACTGGACTATGCTAACACTATGCCAAAGCAATCCCAGCAAACGCGCATTCCCCCTCGTAGAGCTTCTGTTTTCCTGAGTCGTCGATGTTGAAATTATACACACTGCCCCCAAGGTCAGAGGCGTAGATGAATCCGTTGGCGACTTCGAGTTGTAACCCATCGCCTCATGCAGTCCTCCGAGGATTATTTGATACCCCAACTTCCGCTCCAACTCCGTCTCCCCCGCCCCTTTCTTGGCATCTCTCGCCACACTTGCGCATAGATCTGTTGGCTCGGGGAGTCCAGAGAAGAGGACCTCAATATCTGTCCGCGTCTCCGTCGTTTCGCCCCTCGGGATGTCTAGACTCGCGCGCATGATCCTCCCCTGGCCTCCCTTACTTGGGCCCTTTTGACTCCAATACACCACCCGATGAACAGGGTCCACAGCGATCAGCCTTGTGGTCTGGGTGATTAAAATCCCCAACCTTAACCAAAGTCGTCAAATCCGACCCATCAGGTCTAAACCGCAGAACACGCATCCCCTCGCGATCAGAAACGTATAAATACCCATTCGTCATATCCGCTGTAATTTGTTTGGGTGTGTGCACCTCGCCGGCGGGGAGGATTGTCGTCACATCCTCGCCGCGGGGGGTGCTGGAGCGGATCGAACCGGTGTTGGTGGAGGGCGGGCCCATGGAGGTCCAGTATATGCGATTCCCCAGCGTCGTCATCCCATCCGGCTGCGCCTCCGACCCCGCCAATGTCACCAGGGGGGATTTCCCATCAACAGACCCCTTCAAGACGCGCCCCGAGCTCATAGGCGCAGCGAGGTTAGTTAGGCCGAGATCGAGGATGTATAGCGTTTGAGCCGGGACTGGATCCGGTTGTGAGGGGTATAAGCCACCGGATGGAGATTTCTTGCCTAGTTTCCCCTTGTTGACGTACTCGTGCACCACGAAATCGCGGGCACTAGGGTTGAAGCCGCGTTCCTCAACATAGTGCCCCTCGATATGCGCGATGGTGTCGAGGCCGACTTGATCCATTAGTTTGCAGGGGCCGTCGGAGCTGCCGAACATATGCGTCCACACCCCGTCGATGTCTGATGGGGAGCCGACGCCTTCGGAGAAGACGGTGAGGCATTCGCGTTTAAGCCGCCCAGATTCTGTTAAACAAAAATCCTGTGGACTCCCTCTTGACGACTACAGGACTCATTTTTATCCTCGACAGTTCGGCGTGGAGGAATGGGAAGATTGCCGGGGCGGTGACGCCACAGGTCATGAGCTCGACGACGCGTTTGGCTGGGTCAACACTCGAGGCTGGTCCGCTGAGGGGACGGCGGGGATCATGGCGCTGGATTTGTAGGAGGAGTTGGTGGCTAGGATGCAATCCCATGGCGCTAAGGCGGCTAGCTCAGCGAAGATGGAGATTTTGAGGGAGAATATCGGGGATCGGCTTCGATTACTAGCTAGGCATCTTTGACGGCTTTGGAGAGGGAGGAGAAGGCGTGGGCGGTGCCACGAACAACGGAGGGCTGGGTGGGGGAGGGGAGGGTGGTGCTGATGTAGGTGAGAGCGGCGGAGAGCTGGTCGGCCGAGGGGTCGCGGATGTGAACGTCGTGGCCGCCGGCGAGGCACATGAGGGCCATGCGCCGACCGAGGACGCCTGCGCCGAGGATGGCGGCGGGGCGGTTAGGGTTGGGGGGTCCAGAGGACATTTTTGTGGTTGTTGGGGAGGGGATTGAGGGTGCAGTATGAGAGATTGAGGATAGATGGTGAAAGATAAGAGTAAGATATCGGTGAACTCGAATTTATTTTTAACCCGAGCAATAGGAGAAAGAGTAGCTTAGAGTATATTTAATTCAAAGCTTGCAGAGCAGGTTCATAGGGGGTCTATATATAAACCCGTACCAATGACCTGATCATAACCGCCCCCGACCATGCCGAGGTATCCAGCACAGCTCTACGGTGCTATCCTCACAAAATCCATCGGGGACACCTCTCCTATAAGCAAGAATCCCCTCGCCTCCCTCCTCAAAGCGGCACAGTCGGCAGACGGCATCCCGAACACCCCCCCAGTGGATCCCGCCGCTAGAAACCTCCTCAGCGGAAGCACCCGCGTCCGACGAGGCTTGGGAGCAAATGATATGACGAGGATTTTGCACGTCGGGCGGGGCTTAGAGCGGTTTTCTTAGCCTTATCAGGGAAGATTTTCTGCCAAGAGGCGGTGATGTGCCGCGGCCAGTAGTGGGATTTGCCCCACTATGATGTCGAGGGTTAGGGTGGCGCTAGGCCTTTTTGGGGTTAGGGGGGTTTGGGGTGGGACCCTCTTTCCGGATCTCCATGATGACGCTAAAGGTGCCAAACAGCGATTTTGTTCTGTTATTTGGCTCGTTTACAGAGTATTTATAATAGTGCTTCTATTGCATTTTTTTGGCACTTATCTATAGTCTAGTAAATGTAAATTTATTAAGTTAACTTAACGTAACGTATGGGGTAGTCGGACATATGGGGTAGTCGGACAAAAAGTTTATTCTACTCTAGTTGACCGAGTCCTACGTGCCACACACTCCTCCAATTCCAATTCTGGGTCGCTTGAATCGTTCTCTACCTCTTCCTCTTCAACTTCCTCGTCTACTTCTTCAATTGGCCGTTTGCATGGCCTTCCACGTGGTCTTTTCTCGGTTGACTTCAACTCTGCCTCCCGGACAATTTTCAACACTTCCTCGGTACTGAATACAAATTCGCCTTGCAACTTAAGTCTCTTGCCCGTAGTTCTTTTCTTTCGTGTCTCAAGTATCTCTTTGTACTCTTTTACCTCCTTCCGAAGGATGCTGAGTTCAGCATTCTGACTTTCAACCAGCCTAGTCATTCTCTTGGCATAGCGTCGAGTTGGTGAAGCAGGAGAGTCACAAGTTGCCATACTTGAATTAAATACTAAATTTGCATGCCTTAGTTCAGTTCCATCTGGAGGAGAACTTCGGAGTATTGAGAGATCCAGAGTAGTGATATTGGTTGAGTTTTGAGGAGTGCGAGGTGGTTCGGTTGGTGGAAGTGGAAGGTTAGCCAGAACTCTTTCTGGGAGAAAGGGTATTAAACCTGCTGCCCTCCACCCACTTCTAATGTTTTGAGGTATAAGACCCTTCTCTCGAATACACCGGAAGATTTCAACCCAGTGGGAGCGCTGGATTCGCTTTATTCCTGCTCGAGTATACCGATCTACTTCCTGAGCATGAAATCGCTTAAGAGGTCCATACACCCCAACATCAAGTGGTTGGAGTAGATGAGAGCAATGAGGCGGTAGAATAAGAAGGTCGATGTCATTCTCAATGCACAGTGCAATCATATCGCCAGTAATGTGACTAGAATGGCCATCCATAATCAACATTCGCGGGTGATTTCCAGACTTTTTGCGTGACTCAGGCTCAAATACCTTCCGCAACCACTCAAATCCATGACTGTTTGAAGTCCAGCCACTATTACTTGTTGAGAAGTGCCAGTTTGTAGGGGTGTCCTTTGGAATCCAACTTGAATTGGTATTCTTAGCCTTGAATATAATCATAGGTGGTAAAGCACCACCGTCTGCATCAATGCATTCAAGTACAGTTATCCACTCCTGCTTCCCAGCTGTGACCTTCCAATTGGATTTCAAGGTAGAATCAACAATTATTCGCGTGGATTGAGTCTCTCCAACTGCAAAACCTGTCTCATCCATATTATAGATGTTGCATGGCTTGTACTTTCGCTCTTCAATTCGTGCTTTAAACGCGTCAAACCAAGCTGAAATCTTTATAGGAGTGGCTTCTTTATGTCGTGCAGACTCTAGTTGTCTTGAGTAGACCCCTTTAAAGTTTGGATGTCGTTTTAAGAATCTATAGATCCATTCATGGCCTATGGGGGTAGGATTGGTCCGAAGAGTGGTTTGAGAAGACGTGATTTGGACGCGTCGTACGCGAATTTCTTCAGCCATTTCCTTGATCAACATAGGAGTTGCAGGAAAACCCGTGGCAGTGAGACGTGTAATCCATCGTGCTAGTGTATTTTCTTCTGCATTTGAGAGAGCTTGTTCAATTTCGTGAGCTACAGCACGCGTTTTCTTCCCAGACATCCTATCAGCAAGAGTTGACTTAGGAACTTCGAATTGGTCTGCAGCAAGTCTAATTGATTTGAATTCCTTCAATTGGAGCGCAATGACAGCCTTTTGGATGTTGTCGTCAATCTGAGCACGACTGTATGGTTGTGGGATGTTCATGGTGGAAGGTATGAAGGTTCTGAGTTGGTAGTCGGGCATTTTTGTCCGACTACCCCATATGTCCGACTACCCCATACGTTACGTTACATCTTAATTATATTTATATCTAGGGTTAGAAACTTGAGTATACTTACAAGTACAGTAGAGTCTTGATAAGACGATAATTCAATTAGACGATATATTCAATAATGCAATATTTTTCTCGGAACCGATTGATTTTACATACAATATATGATATTCACGATATCGCTCATCGTGATACCTTTCTGCAATCTGTACTATAATATATGATATTTTTGAAGCCTTTAATACTCAATATGCCACGAAAACAACGAATCCACATACACCAGCAACAAGCCCTACATGCGTGGGCCTTTAAACAAACTCCTCGACCTTCTCAAAAAGCCTGTATTACATGGTTCTATGATAATTACAGCCAACGAATAGGACAGTCCACTGTCTCTGAGTCTCTCTCAGCTCATTTCGAGTCTATTGACAACTCTTGTAAGGATACAGGGCACCCAGTGTCATACTGACATTCGTTGCACTCAGTTTGCTATCAAACTCAAGAGCAAACTTAGAAATCTCCTCCTCAAACCTACAAGTCACTATACATATTTTGGCTTGTCACACCAACAACAAGAGCAATACTACTCAACGATTGCTACAACCCTCTATGATTCATTACATGTCATTGCTCCTTAGTTACTGGGCCGATATGACCACATAGCATATCTCTACAACCCTCTATGATTCATTACATGACATCACTCCTTAGTTACTGGGCTAATACTACACATGACATATCTCTATCAACTAGAGGCCTAGGAACATGAACGATAGCTCCAAAAGTTTCTACAACCATCTATGATTCATTACACGTCATCGCTCCTTAGTTACCCACAAGATTGGTTAAGTTATGACATAATTTATCTATAGGGGTACTCTGACCTTGGACCTCCTTTCACTTCCTATAGGCTAGGAACCTAGGAGATGGTTCTGTGGGATTCTCTTACATCGACTACAGTTACCAAGCCTGGTTAGTCATGGAAAGTCATGGAAAATGAGAGAACTACACTCCTTTAGCATAAATAGGATTGCCCTTTCCTTAAGAAAGGGCAAGCAGACAATACAGTAAATCGACTATCACATACTTCCACGTCTTTTCCAAGCTTCCAAGCATTGATCTTGTTACTTCTTGTTTCTGAAAAGTCAGTGAGGTGCTAACCTCTGACTTATCCCTGAGTTCTCAGACTCAACATTTGTTACAACTTGTCTAAACCACTCCACTACATCATACACCTGATTGCTGCGTTGTGGAATAGTCTAAGCTACGACCCTTTGGCTCTTTTTCCTAAGACAGTGAGTTGTTTCCTTGGGTGGCTAGATTCTCACATCTGGTGCACCCACCATTACACCCAGCTCACAGTAATAGCATATGAGAGTGCGGGTCGGAGGCTAAACGGATGCTATCCTATAGGTCTACTAACGAAGGATACAAAAAAGATGAAGAGAGGAACCCCCGTTGGGTCAATCTCCTTAAGTACCTGAAATGGGTCTGACTCAGCTAACCTGCCTTCACTCTCACCATGTGACCATAACTTGTCCGACTCAGATACCTTCCGTCACTGAGGGAGAGGGACCCCGTTGGGTCAATCCCCTTAAGTACCCGAAACGGGTCCGACTCGGCTAACCTGCCTTAACTCTTATCATGTGACCATAACCTGCCCGACTCAGATCCTTTCCGTCACTGAGGGACAGGCATCCTTACACATTTGTAGCAAAATTGAGAGATAGACGAGCCTTGTCCTTCTTTAAACCAGGCGTAGTTGTGTAGCAAGTCCATGAGAAGGTGTCATCCTCCAATAGAGTGCAGCCTCATCCATATTGTATATATCCTCATCATTATATTCACTAGCAATTGTACGTAGGCCTTTCATTTCATCTTCTGCAGTCTCAGGAACAGAGCCAAGCTCTCCGTGTCGACGGTAATCCTGAATATGATGTCGCTGTTTGAACTTTTGAAGCCAGCCGACACTAAACTCAGGGCAAGGACGTTGTGAATATTGAGGCAATTGACACCAGATTTGTTGAGCCTTCTGCTGTAAGAGTTCTCCACTGTTACGCCTCCCTGTTCGATTCGGAGTTGCCAATTGAATAGAACTGCCTCAAGATCTGGCCAGTTTCTGGTTCGTATGCGCGCTGACTGTCCAGGGCTCTCAGAGTTGTAAGGATGCCTCTGCCCTCAGTGACGGAAAGGATCTGAGTCGGGCAGGTTATGGTCACATGATAAGAGTTAAGGCAGGTTAGCCGAGTCGGACCCGTTTCGGGTACTTAAGGGGATTGACCCAACGGGGTCCCTCTCCCTCAGTGACGGAAGGTATCTGAGTCGGACAAGTTATGGTCACATGGTGAGAGTGAAGGCAGGTTAGCTGAGTCAGACCCATTTCAGGTACTTAAGGAGATTGACCCAACGGGGGTTCCTCTCTTCATCTTTTTTGTATCCTTCGTTAGTAGACCTATAGGATAGCATCCGTTTAGCCTCCGACCCGCACTCTCATATGCTATTACTGTGAGCTGGGTGTAATGGTGGGTGCACCAGATGTGAGAATCTAGCCACCCAAGGAAACAACTCACTGTCTTAGGAAAAAGAGCCAAAGGGTCGTAGCTTAGACTATTCCACAACGCAGCAATCAGGTGTATGATGTAGTGGAGTGGTTTAGACAAGTTGTAACAAATGTTG